TAAGCTATCGATCTGATTACCTATCTCCAGTCTTATTTTCAAATGCATCATGTTTTAAAAGTCATACGGTTACTTTTGTGTGTTATTCTAATTGGTTCTTTGAATTCATCTTTCTTGATGATAATAGTACTACTGTAGGTATCGTTTACAGAATGTTTTACACAAATATTTATATTTGACTTGATTATTGATAGACTTGCGGCCCCCGATATCGTGCAGTTTACTGCCAATATAGACGATATCTTTCACATCACTTCTATCTGTTTGCTAATCTGATCACACCAACTCAGTATGTGATGTAAAACCACAAAATTTAGTAATTTCTGCAATCACCATGTTCTTACTGACGGCTAACCAATACTTCCCAAAGACTTAGTGAAAACCGATAACTACCGGTGTTCAACCATGTCGAGCATGAAATCAATATCATCAATGAGAGCAGACGATAGATTCATAGGGCTTCAAATTTACTGAAGTTGGGAATGCAACCTCTTAAATATTAGGTGGTTGATCTGTTGGTCAAATACTCACTGATATGTCTGAAGGTTTGATCCCTGATGATTTGGTGTACTGTTGAATAGGACGAAACAGTTGTTCAATGCGTCTTTGTTTTCATTGGTCATTTTATTAAGATCCATACGTGATGGTAAACATTATCTTTGTTTTAATTACTTCATTTACTTTTGTTTAAAAATTCTTAACACTATTTTGTTAACATAGATTGCCATTGAGTTCAGGTACGGTGACAGCAGAAGTTATTGTTTCTGGTAAAAGAAAAGAAGCCGTCGTTGCTTGTGCTTTAGAAGCATGTCAACTTTTGGATCGTTTAGGTGAATTTGATCCAGATAAAGGTATGTATTGAAGCATAAATGTATTTTAAATAATTCTAAACATTGGTTTTCTATTTGGAAAAAAAAACTCTTCTCACAGAAATGGAATTTTTACACTTTTATAAATCTTTATGCATATCTTCAAGATAATTATGTTGAACTAGTTCGGATTATTCCATTGTTGATATTTGCGACTGGAATTTGATCAGTTTTGGTTGGGATATAGGCATCCTATGCGAATTGCCTCGATAGATCGATTCTGATTAGAGTTATTATAGACTAGATAGAATGTGGTTAGCAGTGGAATCTAGGACGTGCGTTTCATCCTATTCGGGACTCGTACCTGCATCTCAGAGTTGCTGTTCACTCTGTAACTCGAACCTAGTATCGTTGGCTTTAAACACTGGTATCATGTTATTCATTTAGCTGTTGGGTTCACTTATGAAATGGGTATGAGATTTAATTGAATTTGAAATGGTTCAGATTATTTCATTGTTGATATTTTTGACTGAAATTTAATCAGAGTTCATGTTTGAATAAATTGTTCTTCCAACTATACCCCCTCCAAACTAATGATTACACTGATTTTTATTTACCATTGTTTGTTTTACAGTCGTCATTAATGTTGAATACTTTTTCATCTTTCTATGTAAATAATTAGTTTTACTCCACTAAAATAAAATCAAACACTTTAGTATTTTTTTACTTTATTTTGATACTTCAGATCGTTCTACTGCTTCTAACTATACTCGATCACGAGCTTATTGGGAAGATCGTGATTATTATTCATCTGATGAAGATACATTTGTTGATCGAACTGGTGCTGTGGAAAAAAAACGTTTAAATCGTATGCGTCAATTAGGAGTACAAGATACTACTACTAATGATCATCAGATTAAAACACCAGACGAACTATTGAACAATAATAATAATGTTAAAATTCATCACAAAAATGAAAAACGATTCTCTCAAAATGCAACTATGATTACTGTGGTACGTTTTTTTGGTTGTATGTTTTACTCAGTGTGTATTTACGGGTGTTTGTGCATGTTCATGAGCTATCATAGATAATTCATTCCATGTATATTTTTCATTTTCCGTAGTTTATAAGGAAAAAAATACTCTTGAAAATAAATTCATTTTAATTAACCCATTCACCCAGTACTAGCAACGATATAATCCACTCTGTAATAAATATGAGGGCTGTCAGTACCCATCCATTTGTCCACACTAAGGAAGCTGGATCAGGATGCAAACCCCTTAACTAATAAGCCGCCGCTTCAAAATCAAATTACAAATCCTCTTGTTTTTATATGAACAGAATATTTAAAAGTGTTTGTTACAATAAAATTTTAAGCTTTTCATTTAACCGTATCGTATCATTGTGCTTCATTGCTTCATTAAATTTTAAAATCTTACTGTACAACATCAAGAAAAAATGGATTATTAAATGTATGTGCTTATTATCACGTTGATATACCTATCAGTGTAGTCGTTAGATATATTCGATAAATCAGTTAAAAATCCTAGATATGTTAGGCGACTGATTGAACCTGAAGTAAATGTATTCAGTTATGTTCATTTGATATTATCCCACACCTGGTACACATTTAAATAGATGATTGATTGAACCATAATGCACATTAAATGAGAGGAATACACAATGTAAATAGACGAATATATTACATTAGTGTCCAGATTAGACTAAAGTTTGTAATTGATGAAATCATTACAGCAACTACTACTACTATGATTCAAATGGTCATTACAACATTGCGAATCAAGCGTATTAATTTTCCAAGAACTATCTTTCATAGTTTATGATATCTTTTTTTTGTATAACCTTGTCTTCGTAATTGTGTTGGGTGTAAATAAAAACTTCACATTTCAAAGTTTGGTCATCCCGGCGTTAGACCGAAAGGCCTAATCCACAAGGCAGTAGAGCAACGTCACGAAATGCATTCGCAAAGTAGCCAGTTACTAACAACAATAAATTCATAGGCGATTTGCTCCCTCACGATCATGGAACTCAAATGAATCATAGGCTTGTAGTCAGGGTTTACCAACTCCATCAGGTTGATCTACTGTACCTACCAGCTCGGTTTAAGCTCTGGAGACTTGCTTTCCAATCTCTTAATATCGTAACCAAAACCCTCATCACGTGGTGTTGAGTAGGACTTCCCGGGAAGCGGTTATATACACATAGCCATATGAGAGTATCTGGGTAGGTCGAGCGGGACTGTCTCCACTCTCAGTTGTACTAGGTAATTTAGGACGTCTGAAGAGCAAGGAAACTCCTTAAAGTTCTACTTTTAACGATAACAAAGCCAAGAGTATATTTCATGACGCTAGACAGTGGTCGCGAACAATTGTGGGTAGCGAAGGAAAAAGAGATAAAAAAAAGGTAGCGACTATAGGTAACAGAGGACAACTTTTTAACGAAACCGGTATTAGAAATCTGACTGTAAGTTAGGCTAAGGGTGGTGTTCCAGTTTCAATGGATAGATTGACTGAGATCTTGGGTAGAATCTGGAAACTGTACGTATTCCATCTGACTGGTCTCAATCACTGATTGTCTCAGTCTGTGAGAAAGCACAAAAGTCTTCTTGTGACAATCACAGAGAATTCAGTTTAACTAATATAGTATCGAAAATATTGGCCACAATAATGCTTCGACGCTTAACAAAAGCTCGTGAAGAGCAGACTAGAGAAAACCAGTTTAGTTTTTAACCTGGATGTGACTTGTAAAGACTCTCTACTTGAACACTGCTGTTTTAGTGAGAGTTTATGGCAAACTGTCATCGGACTTTCAGGAGTTGAACTTTTAACCAGGAGATTCGCTTGTTGAGTTTGAATATGTCGATGACATAGTTCTATATGTTGAAAACGCTGACAAACTGCAGAGTCTTCTAACCACCCTAAGCAGCATTGCAAGCCTTTTCGGGATGCCAATCTGCCTGTCGAAATGAAAACTGTTAATTTAGAATTGGATTGCATCGGCACTTGAATTAGTGATAGGGATTGAAGCAGTTGAGCGTGTCGGCCGCTTCACTTATCTGGTGAGTCTCATCAGTGTTGATGGCGTGGTGTGTGACGAAATCTCGGCATGAATACCGAAGGCTGGATTGGCTTTTGCCGACTTGTGTCACTTATGGCATAGGCGAAATATCCGTGTACTAACCAAAGGACGAGTGTACTACGCAGCAGTTTGCTCTGTCCCTATTTTATGGCTGTGAAACATAGGCAGTTAGGAGTAGAAGATATTCATAGGTTACTGGTTTTCGATCACAGGTGTCGCCAAAGCATTGCTCGTTTATTTTGAGACTATTGAGTAAGTTATTAAGTTGTTAGGAAATATGTACTAGGTCAGTATGGCAGATCAATAGATGGAGTAGTGAATCTACACCGGTTGCTGTGGTTTGGACATGTGTTACGAATGCCCAACTAACCACCGACTGCCTTGGTGATCAATGGTTTGTGATGTGGAATAGGCTAGTAGAGTGCTAGTGGCGACTGGACGCAACATGCCACAAATCCTTGAGGTCATTGTCAACTGGATCGAGCCATGTTACAAGGTGTAGACTATCAGGTGGGGGTCCATGAGACAATAACTAGTTGACGGTTAGAGACTTTGAATGACATGGCTCAAGGTCGTTTGCAATGGCGCAGTGCATCTATTCTTCATCTCTTCTCAAAGTCTAATCTTCTGAATTCTTCATCACGTTTATCTTTCTTTTTTTTACGTTTATTTCACTAGTTTATTCTACCCGAATTATTTCTACGAACTCTTATCTTCTCCATTACTTCTACTATATATACTATTTCTACCACTGTGAGATTTGAATTGACAGTTTCATGTGTTTGCGCTAATGTGGTATGACAACTTGAAATTGTCTACTTACGTACAAAATTCCACTTTGTAGCTGACTACTAAATTTAAGTTTTAATGATATTGTCATGCTATGCAAACCAAAATAGGTTGAGTCAGAGATCCAATGCACGATATGCTAGAAAGAATTAGAGCGTATTGACCACTGCTCAACCGCCCATTACTTTTATTAGTACAATTGTTTTTAGTATTATTTTTAATTATTGCTTACGTAAATAGTTGTTTAGCCATCATGTTATTAATTTTGTAGCTTTCTGAATTGGAAAAAATCGGTGAAGAAATTGTTTCAATTGAAGAAGAATTAGAAGCTATCAACAAAGGTATATGTTTCGTGTTTGCTTTTTTTTATTGATTTTTTCTCTCAATATACTCTAAAAAACATATTATCTTATTGTATTTGCGTTACCTTTGAATATCAGGTAATGGTCTAGTTTTCTTTTTTATAGATTTGCGAATTGTTTGAAATTTTCAAATAGGTGAAACGTTTTGCTTTGCCTAATCACGATAAGTGGAACATGACAGTTTTAATCGACTACTTGATTGTTCCATAATGTTATCATTGTGATTGGTTATGGACTAAAGAAGTTATTAATATTGATTTTTTTTAAAATCTACATTTGAGTAGACATCAATTGTGCTATTCACTTTTTAACCTGGTTGATTGTATTTAGTTGACTATGTGTTAGGATATTCACCAAATATCCTAAGAATACTATTTTTAGAACTGCAATCCTATTGGTCGAATTCTATTGGCCGAAATTATGATCGTTCTTACCGTCAGGGTCAAATACTTCAATGTTATCTTTTATTGGTCATCTGGACAGTCAATGTCATTCAAATGTTCTTTTCTATTGGTCGTCCTAATTTGTCAATGTCACGGACGTTGATGCTTTTTCTTATTCGACCTTAGTGTATAAATACGCGCTATCTGGAAGACTTAATAATTCCGTTTCCCCTGCCTACTTGTTCTGCTGTTTTCGACCCAATAAACATCTTCCTTCCACGGTGTTACGTTCTGATTTCTAGGAGATTTGGAAAAGCCTTTTGGGTCGTTTTGTGATATTTGAATTGGACGCCGTTAGGACTGAAGATTTACGTAGCCGCGTTTACAACAAATTTGGCGACGGGGTGGTGACTAATTATGGATCCAGCTACATTAGAAAAATTGTTTGCACAGCAGCTGAAGCTGATGGAGATGCTTACTCAGAAGCACATCTCTTCTCAAGTCTCATCTACACCAACAATTCCTCAGTCAGTTGATGGTATGACCAGTAGTATTTCTGAGTTTCTGTATGATCCTGACGCCAATATTACATTTGATACTTGGTTCATGCGTTATGAAGATCTTTTCAAAGTTGATTTTGCTGACAAAGATGATTCCTGGAAGGTGCGTCTTCTCCTTCGAAAACTTGGTCCGTCAGAACTGGACAAGTATCGCAACTACATTCTACCGCAGAACCCACGTGACAGATCATTCGATGCTACGGTTCAGTCCCTCAGCAAACTTTTTGGGGATCAGCATTCTATTTTCAATACACGTTATCGTTGTTTAAAACTAGTCATGAATGAGTCCGATGACTTCTTGACTCATGTTGGTATTGTCAACCGCGAGTGTGAACGGTTCAAACACAGATCCCTTACTGATGACCAATTCAAATCACTCATATTCATATGCAGTCTACAGTCACCCAAATTCTCCGACATCAGAACTCGATTGCTTAACCGCCTCGAACAAGACCCAACACTGACACTCGATGCTATCGCTGATGAGTACCAACGCATCACCAACTTACAGTGTGACAACACTTTGGTTCAATCTGGGAGCCACGGTGGTTCCGAAGTTCACGTTGTTCAGCAACAGAACAAATCTTCTAGATCGAAAACCTTTGGTCGTTCGAATGCCAGTTCTGTTCCTAATCACTCAAAATCAACGCATAAGAAGCCCCCCTCACCATGTTGGCACTGTGGAGACTGGCATTATGTGAAATTTTGTCCATTCAAGCAGCATGTGTGCAATCGCTGTCAGAAAATTGGTCATAAAAGCGGTTTTTGCCAATCAACCCGATTCACTGGCCGGCGAAATTCACAGTCGCAGCACCGTTAT